CTAAAATGTAAGATTTTTATAGACTTAAAAAAAAAAACAAATTTAAATAGAATCAAAATCTAAGTATTAGGATTCCATCATCATAAGTATTTTTAGCTTACTTTGTCCAATTTGAGAAAGGGATGACGCTATCAAGATTGTAGTCTAGCTGAAATACAAACACACTTGTGAATTCAACTACATTTTTCTCTTTAGAAAAGACTGCTTTTTAAGTAAAGACAATTTAAAAAGAATTAATTGTATAACAGAAAAATAAACAAAATTTAATCATTATTTACTTTAAACATAGCAACCTAGGTTGGGTCTAAACATAGCCTAGGTTGGGTCTTAGTAATAACATTTTTATATTGGTCAATAATCACTTTCTGTTTCGCATCCAGCACTAGCAGGGACACCTCTCCCTTCCATCTCCAACTGCAATAATTTCCCAATTATGATATACAGCCCATAAACAACTAATCAATAAATTATATTGAATGCCTATTATGCAGACACTGTTCAAGGTGCTGAGGATATGGTAATGGAATCAGACATAGCCCATTTCAGGAAGCTCAGTATGGCCCAGGAAAGGAGGAAAAAAAAAAATCAAATAATGTAATTTCAATTAAAAAACAAAACAAAACAAAACAAAAAACTGGCCCTCCCTCGTGGTGCAGCGGGTTAAAGCACAGCACTGCAAGCTGGCCATAGCTGCTTCAGTGCAAGTTCAATCCCCGGCCCCTGAGGTAACCCACATGGCGTGACAGACCTCTCCTGACCCACCCACTGCTCTTCTCAATAGTGCACTTTGTCAATCTGTCTGTTCTGTTCCCCACTTTGTCTCTGGTGAATCCTCTCACCTCCCCTGCACCTCTGGCCTATACCCCAGTTCTGTATGTACAAATAATCTTTAAAAAAAAAAAAAAACCAAAAAACAATTATTACAGAGGAAAGTCAAGTAAGGACTCTTTTAAGATGACTAGCATGTGACATTTAATAAGTAATCCCTCCACCCCTGTGACTGTAATGTTTTAAATTTTTTTGTCAGAGAGACCTCCCTGATGATCTCAGAGTTAAGTCTCAGCACAACTACTAATGTGGCCTAAGTTTGATCCCTGGCCTGGGAGCTGACCCACATATGGCACAGCAGGCCTTCCTGTCTCCCCAACTGCTCCACTTAGCTGTATATTTTCAGTGGATGCCCTGCGATGATACCCACTCTGTCTCTGGTGAATCTGCTTAACACCCCCACCTCTGGCCTACACCCCAGTTCTTCTATGCAAAAATCAATAAATAAAATCTTACAAAAAATGAAGTTCTGGCAGTAACTTCTACAAAAAAAAATTTTTTTTATCATAAACATTATGGTGATGTAGGGGCCTCCCTGGTGTCACAAGAGGTTAAAGCACAGCACTGTGAAGCTATCCAGAACCACTGCAGCATGAGTTCTATCCCCAGTCAGGGAGCTAACTCACATTGTGCAGCAGATCTCTCCTGACCCACCCACTGCTCCCCTCAGCAGTGTTATTTCAGCCAATCCATCTGTCTGTTCCCTGCTGTCTCTGGTGAATCCTCTCACCCCCACTCCCAACTTCTGGCCTGTACCCCAGTTCTTGTATGAATAAATAAATGTTTTTAAAAAATGTTTAAAAAAAAAAGGCAGGATGATGTACATCTTGGGCTACAAATTTCTATAATCTACGAGAAGTGAATACATGTGATAAAGTATAAAATGTGATATGTCAGCAAGAAAAAGATCTGAAAGAGAAAATGAATTTCTACCATCTTTGACAGATCTAGGAAAAGTAAAGATAAGCATTTATACTCAGTAAAAACTTGAAGTTGGGGCGTGGCCCCAAAATTCTTGATGCTCACTGCTGATCCAGTCACTCCCTTGAATTCAGTAGTTCTCTATAATAACTCAATCAGATTGGAAGGAAACCTTCCATATGGCAACAACTATTTTACTATTTATGTTATCTGGTGGTTTTCCCAAAGGCACTTAACTCCTGGATTCCCTCCTCAGCATATCTCACTATACCTACATCCTTACCCACCTAAGTCCTATCCTTCAAAGTCCATCTCAACTACTAACTCCTAAAACTAGGAATGAATACCACTGCCCCAAAGGAATGGTATTTCCTTTTTCAAACTCTAAATAGCTGATGTTTAATTATAACTATCTGTATACTTGTTTTATATCTCCAACTCCATGTTATGAGTCTTATGTATGATGACAAAGGTTTGGGTTTTTTGGGAATGCTTTCTAGAGTAGATACTCATTACTCAAGTTTATTCAATGAACAGGACACCCAAAGAGATTTCCAACTTGGCTGAGAAGAAAATTTAGAGATAGCAAAAGTCCTGCTTGATACAGTTAGAAGTAAGATACAGGAGAAAATCCTAACAAGCATAGTAAAGTAGTTCTGATTAACCAGGCTATGCTCAAATTCAAATTCATTACCTTAATTGGATATGAACCTCAAGGAAGTTATTTAGTTGCTTTAGGCCTCAGTTTCCTTATCTGTAAGGTGGTGAGAGTATCAGCTACCTCATAAAGTTAATATAAACAAGTGAGTTTATGTACTCCATATATATATTATTATATGAGTACATATATTATATACCCCATATATACTTCAAAGTTTGGCATCAATACAATATTGTCATTATATTTATTCTTTCTCCAGAAGATCTCTATCAGTAGATCAACCTAGACATCTCTTTTATCTCAGAAACTCCATACAAACAAATGTCAGATGACAGAGAAGATGTCAGCGATCACTGTAAGCTGACAAGTGGGCAGAGGCTTTGTAAGAGAGCACTGAGCCAGGTTAGGGACAGAAAGAAGCAAGCTGAGTAGAGAAGTGTGGAGAAGGACCTTGTAGGGGGCAAAGGTAGAAACAGCAAAGGCTAATAATAAATAAGGATAAGCATGTGGAACGTTTACTTGGTTAGAGTTTCTGTTTTGGGCAATGGTGAAAAATAAGATTATAATCCAAATGATTAAAAATAGACAAAAATCACCTGTTTATAAACCAAATTACTCCTTTTGTATTTTTGCAGGTAGGAGTTCAAATGACAGTTAACTAATATCTATTTTACCGAATAATCTGCCTTGAGAACATTTCACACACTATAAACTGAGAATAGGTACAAAACCCAAGAATTTCATCATATTCTTCTAAAGGCAAATATAAGTAAATGGTGAATTACACTAATTTCAAAGACATTCCTTTCCTCTGTATTAAAGAAACAAAAACTGCTTACAGGCATATCAATTTGATATTCAATACAAAGGAGTTTATAAAATATATGCCTTCATAATTTCAGTTATTACAATGTAAGTCAGAATTTACCACACCTCTGATCAAAACCCTCAGATGGCTCCCAACCAGGAGCTAAAGTGACATTCTCACATGGCTAAAAAGTCCTGGTGGTTCTGTGCCCTCCCCAGGCGCTTCCTCCCATCACTGCCTCCTCTGCTCATTGCACCAAGCACTGTCCCTCTAATAGGCCAGAATTGTCTTCTTAAAGACCTTTAACACTTGCTGTTCCCTCTGCCTAGTACATTCCTTTCTTCTGCTATTAAAATGGCTCATTTGGGGCCCTCCAAGGTGGTGCAGTAGGTTAAAGCACAGCACTAAGAACCAAAGCCACTTCAGCATGAGTTCAATCCCCACCCTGGAGGTGACCCACATGGTGCAGCAAACCTCTCCTGACCCGCCCGCTGCTCCCCTCAGCAGTGGATTTCGTCAGTTGGCCTGTTCTGCTCCCTGCTCTGTCTCTGGTGAATCCTCTCACTGCTCCTGCACCTCTGGCCTATACCCCAGTTCTGTATGCATAGATAAATAAATCTTAAAAAAAAAAAAAAGACTCATTCTCTCACCTCCAAGTCCCGTCTATAAACAATTCCCTTACTTTAAAATGTACAACACCCCATTCCTCTTTCCAGCTTTATTTCCTCCCAAAGGCCCTAATTATCTTCTAATAGATACCACTCATATGGCTGTTTAAATTTCTTTTCTTTCCCCCAATGAAAAGCAAGTTTCTTGAAGGCAAAGATCACACACCTGGGACAGTACTAGAGAACAGGCACCCACAAAATATTCTTGAATGAACTGTAAACTAGCCCAGATGATGTCCCTTCTAGATAGTGAAAAATACAAATTACTTTTTTAACCGCCGAACGTCTAAAAATTAACTTTGTATTTAACACTTATTGCTCACTTCCTAAATGCCAGTATTGGGCTTGGCTCTGAACAATACTGTATAGAATGGGGGAGAATAGAGAGAAAACCGCCATTTACTAAAAATAACAACATACAAGAAAGCCAAAAGAAAGTGACAGCCTCAAGGAATATGGGCAACGAAGTAAAAGCTTCACGACAGTTATAAGGAAGCAGTGTGATTCCCCCAAACTCCCTATTAGTAGTAGTTTCCCCTTATAATATGGAGAGTACGCTTGCAACTTGACATCAAGTATTTACTGACACCAGGGAAGGCTCTTAAATAGGTTGCAAAAAAGTTTGCGTGATGATGGGGTTGCTAGTCGCCGACCTACTCAAGGCTGCACAAAAAAATCACCTTGTTTTCTACTATGCTCAGACCTGGCAACTTTGCACATCAGTTCCCCCAGACCAGGAGGCCTTCATCTGCCAACAGCTAGGTAGTATCCTCCCCGTGGCTACCCCTGCTTCGGAACCCGGCACCCTGCAAATCCCTTCCCTAGCGGGCGGGCTGGCGCCGCCTCCGGAAAACCGCCAAATGGGCCTCGGTAAGAGTTACGGGAGAAGCGGGAACAGAGGGGGAACGACGCGGCTAGAAAGGACCCCTCCAGGCCTCAGCCCCGCGCGCATTCCTACCCCTTTTACCCCTTCCCGGCCCCAGGCCTCCGGTGTCCCGAAGCTCCGCCGACTCTTTGTTAAGCCAGGCCGCGGCTCCCTGGCCCCTGATAGGCCCCACAGTGGTTTCCAGCGGCCCTACAGTCGTTCCAGCGGCAACCCCGCCTCCGGACCCACCTCGCACAACCCGCGGCCGTAGCTGCAGTCGCAGCTGTCACCGCCGACGCGGAGAGAACCCCAGGCCGAGGTACGCGCGGTCCAGGCCGCGTCCCGCCGCGCTCCTGCCTCTCCGCCCCCTTCGCCGCCGCCGCCTCTCAGCCCGTTGCAGACTAGGAGAAGGGGGGCCGCGAACCTGACATGCGCAGTGGGGAGAGCGCGGCCCAGGGGGCGGGGCCTGGAGCTACGGCTCCCGGGAGGTGCCACGGCTCGCGACCTTAAAGCTCCAGAACGCCTCGGACGCCGCCAAACATTTTGACAGGACACTGTGGGGAGGAGTGTCCGTGGCCCGTCTGGGCGTGAACCTGGGTGTGAAGACAGAGCAGCAGTGACCGGGAGTCGTCCAAACAGCCCCAGAAAAGGGCTTGGGCGGAAACCATATTTACCTAAAACTGTCCCCTAGATGCTGTTCCTTTGCAAATACAACTTGGGGAACATTGCTCCGCGTACCTCTGACCACGTGGTGCCACTGAGCAGGGCCACCTTTAGCTTCGGGAGTACTAGCTTGCTGGACGGCGACTGAACCCTGAGGAGGGTTGGGCTCAACTTGAGCAGTTCCGGCTTTGGGGCCACGATGACGTCATTTTCCCGGCAGCCCACTTCGTCTCACGGGCAGGGGGAGGCGGGCTGGCGCGGCGCGGGAGGCTGCGTCTCGCCCTCGGTTCTCCGCGCACGCGCGGGCGGACCGCACGCATTCTACGCAACGGACGGTGGAGGCGACGTGAAGAGTGGCGCGGCGTGACTGAGCTGCCTACCTGGCGGCGTCCTAGAGGCTTCCAAGGCAGCAAACTGCAGAGACCGCGCCGGCGGTGGCCAGGCTGAGTGGCGGGCGGGGTAGCGCTGGCGGCCGCGGGAGAGCTGGGCGGGATCTCAGCCTCCGGTACAGGTAGGAACCGGGTCGGTGGAGCCGGGCCGGGTCGGGCGGGGCGGTGATTTGAGTTGCTTGGCCTAGCCCAGTCTGGTTTCCCACACAGCCCCCCGAAGTCCGGCCTGTGGTGACGTGTATCACCCCCTCCCACCTTCTTCCCACTGCTGACTTTCACTTTTTCCGATTTTTATTTTTGTAAACAGCAACTTTGACGGCTCGTTTTCGGGGTGATTTTAATGATTTGGGGGAACGTCTCCACAGAGCTGTGAGCAAATGCCAATCAGAAGGGCAAAGTTAGCGCAGGCGTTCCATGGCCACCGGGAGGACCTGGGAGGAATGCAGTGTAGACCTGAGGATGAGTGGATTCTCCGTGGTGGGGAAAGATCGCACACGATGCCTTAATGGAAGCAGCAGACTCTGTCGCCCGTCTTCTCTGAAGTTTTATAACCTGGCGCTTGTTTCTGTTCAACACGTGTGAGGAGACAGGAATGGTAGTGTGATTTCCAGAAGTCTCATCGCCTAGGCGGCCGATGTCAGACAGGCCTAATGTAAAATGGCTAAAGGAAATGAATGATCAGCCCCACTTTGTCCCCTTTCGTTTCGAAGACCAGACTCCACTGTGAGACTGCTGTTTGCGCTTGTGTTCCCTGCCCCAGCAGTTCCAAGACTGAGTGGCCTGGCAGAGTTGTGTGTTTGAGAAGTGAGTTGACAGGTGCAGCAGGGAGACTTGTAAGAGGAAAGACCAGGCTCAGATGGCTTGGGCAGTTTTAACCTCAGTAACCTTGAAGGAGCCCTGTTCAAGGGCTGACTTAGCTGAGGAATGACTGGTGTGAACCTTCTAAGTGGACATTGAATTTGAAGTGATCAGACCTTTTGGCAGACAGATAATCGCATTGTGCCAATGTTAGACTTTATTTGCTTCTATTTGGGGATATTTAAGACATCTGAAAAGGGAAATATCAGGACAGAAGGTTTTTATATCTCCGTGTTGCTAAGGCACAAAGGAAGGAATGGAAGTTAGTGTTTATGGCATCTCCTGTAGGGCAACTGGCGAATAATTCCCTTTTTGTATATGTGAAACTGGGAATTTTAAGTAATTAGTCCAAGATCATATGGCTGCCAAATAGCAGACATTCTCAAACAGATCTAACTCCACCAAAGTTTAGGCTGTTTTTCATATTTCTTCTCCTTTTGACGCTAATCAAAGATCATTAAATTAGGAGTGTTTGGAGACACATTATAAGCCTCTTTGAGGTTGGCATTGGCAAAAGTATGTTTTTCCATTCAATGTCCTCCATTGCTAACCTCCAAGATCAAAATTTAGAGGGATGTGCTATTTAGCCTATCCTTTATGGCATTTCTTAAAATCATTTGTGCATTTCAAAATTTACGAACTTTTCCAATTCTAAGAATATTTCTAGAGCATTCACTAGTTGCAAAATACTGGACAATAATAACCTTTGATACTGAACATCTGGCTCCTTTAAGAATTTACTGTGCTATATAAGTATGAGGTACAGAATGTTCACTATACTGGGGACTTGAAAGAATGGCATATACACCTTCTTGTCTACTATTCTAACTCCCTGCATTCTTATCACTTACCGCAATTGCCAATAATGCTTTCTTCATTAACATTAGGAAATTTTTGGTGCATATTTTAATTGCACTTTATGCAATAGTTGAAACTGAGCTGTTCCTTCTCAGAAATATACTGACTTCTGTAATACCTTTTTTGTTTGTTTCTTATAGCACTTTGATTGATCTCTCTAACCATTCTTTGTTTCCCATTCCAGTTCTTTCTGATTTCTCTTAGCTGTTATGCTTGGTTATAAGTTTTTTTTTCAGAATTAGACTTGAAATTTTCAGTTTGAGAATTTAAAATTAATCATCTGGCCCTACCTGGTGGTGCAATGGGTTAGGATGCAGCACTGCAAGCTGGCTGCCACTGCTTCAGTGCAAGTTCGATCCCTGGCCCCAGAGGTGACCCACATGGCACGGCAGACCTCTCCTGACCCGCCCGCTGCTCCCCTCAGCAGTGTACTTTGTCAATCTGCCTGTTCTGCTCCCCACTCTTTCTCTCTGGTGAAGCCTATCGCCGCCCCTGCACCTCTGACTTGTACTCCAGTTCTGTATGAATAAATAAATCTTAAATAAATAAATAAAATTAATCATCTACCATATTGCCTGAAGTCATTACAAATTTCTCAACAGGTACTAAGTTGAACTTACTGCTCCCCACTCCTTACCTCTTGTCCCCTCCCCCACTTTTTCCTCCTTTATTGTTTTTCATATCAGAGATGACTTTGTCCATCTGCTCATCAAGCCAAAACTTAGAGTCACTTCATATCTTTCTCACATTCCCTAGATCCATTTATTTTATGCTGGAAGGTGTAATTTTAAGTTGCTTTTCTCTTCATTCCCGATACAGTTGCCAGTTCAGTCTTGCTTATCTCTTATCTTAATTATTCAGTCACTTCCTATTTTTCCTGCCTCAGGTATCCTCCAGGTTACCTCCATATGAGGCTTTGGGGTTAAATTGTGCACACTGTCATTCATTACTTAATCTCCTTTAGTTGATTCTAATTATCCAAACTTCTTAGTGTAGCATAAGGATCACCATGATCTGGCCCTGCTGCTCTTTCCAGCCTCATTTCCCACTACTTGGTTCTGTGCGCTCCATCATATACCAAACTCCAGAAACAGGCATTTCAGGCCTCTGTGCCATAGTTGTTGCTCATTCAGTGCCTCTTATTGAATGAATAAATGTTGATTTTACTTTATTTATAAAAAAATGCTTATAAAAAAGTACCTTATAATAAAATCAGAAAAATATAAAGTATAGGCAAAATAATATAATCCTGCCATATAAAGTACCTGCTCTTCATATATAGCTGTCCTTTTAAACCTCCATGTGTGTTTACTTCTAAAATAACATGAGTTCTAAATATTTAATAACAATTTTTAATGGACAAAAAGTAAATTTGCTTTTTATATGTACCCATAGTTTAACAAATGGTTTCAAAATTTCACTGTCACAAGTAATACTATAGCATAACCTTGACGCTAAATTCTCCATTTTACGGTTATTGAGGAGTCACATTGTACTTCCTTGGCATAGTACCCAAACAGTGATCAAGTGGTCGCTTTAGAAATCAAGTGAGGAAACACCAGGATTTGATGGCTTGTTAGATTTCAAATGCAAAAGAGAGTGAGAATAACTTACTCCTTTCAGCAACTAAGACTGGAAACTGGGGCTAATAATAATATAGAAGTAGAGAAATTCAGGCACCTGTTGATATAAAGATGAATAGAACATAGGTCTACATCCTACAGCCTGAGAGGTAGACAGTCTGCAAACTAAGAAGTTTTGCATTTTTAAAACATTTTTTAAAGAAGGATTTGTAACAGACCATTACATGATCCACGAAGATTAAAATAGTTACTCTGGGCCCTCTCTGGTGGCACAGCAGGTTAAAGCACAGCACTGAGAAGCTAAAGCCACTTCCACATGGGTTCGATTCCCGCCTGCCCTGGAGGTGACCACATGGTGGGGCAGACCTCTCCTGACCCGCCTGCTGCTCCCCTCAGCAGTGTACTTCATCGATCTGCCTGTTCTTCTCCCCCTTCTGTCTCTGGTGAAGCCTCTCACCGCCTCTGAGCCTCTGGCCTGTACCCCAGTTCTGTATGCACAAATAAATAAATCTTTGGAAAAAAATACTCTGTGACCCTATATCAGAAAAGTTAGTAGGGCATCAAAGTTGACATGTCTGTGCTGTGAAATGATGGTAGAAGACTGGTGTTTCATGAAAGGGAAGACTAGAAATAGAGCCTGAATACATTTGATGGTTGAAATCTACTCCTCAAACTCTAGCACTAATGTTCTACCTTTTAAAAAGTTTTTATTTATTTATGCATACAAGAGGTAGGGTGTAGGCAAGAGTTGGGGGGGGGGTGGTGAGAGGATTCACCAGAGACAAAGTGGGGAGCAAAACTGGCAGATCCACTGAGGGGAGCAGCGGATGAGACAGGAGAGGTCTGCTGCACCCTGTGAGTCAGCTCCCTGGCGAGGGATCCTCAGCTGCGGAAGCTTTGGATAGCTTTATAGGGCTGAGACTTTACCCCTTGTGCCACTAGAGAGGCCCTGTTCTCCCTTCTTTGGCAAAGCCTTATTTAAGTTTTTATTGTCTTCCATGTAGTGAAGAAATATTTTAAAGACAGTAATGTAAGGCATAGCCACTGGCTTACATTTGAGAAGCATCAGAAAAGTGATTTATAACAAGGATTCTGAAGGCAAAACTGGGATTAAATCATATCTGTCATTTAGTAGTTAAGTATCTCTATGCCTCATTTTCCTATCTGTGAAATGGAGCTATTAATTGTGCCACTTTCCTTAAAGAGTTGCTGTGAGGATCAAAATAACTGCTTTTTTGTAAAACCTTCAGGACAGTGCCTAGCATTTTCTTTCTTGAACACAGCTGTTATGATAATGATATTCACACATGCACATGAATGGTGTTTCTATTCACATGTTACTTTGTTACTGGTAGATATAGTTACACCTCATTCTTATTTCCCAGTTCCTGTGCAAAGTTTTTTAAGGACTCTTGAAAATGCTTGCTGAATACTCAGTGTAATTGGAAAGTGAATTTTAGAGAGGTCAACCTGAAGAAATTAAATGACTTTTTCTAAGATGTTCTAGTGACAAAATCCACACTAGAACCCAAGTTTTTAAAATGTACCTCATTGTTCTTAATTTGATGCTGGGCCCTTCCTGGTGGCGCAGAGTTAAAGCGCAGCGCTGTAAAGCTCTCAGCAGCCACTGAAGCATGAGATTCAATCCTCAGCCAGCAAGCTGACTTACATGGCGTGGCAGACCTCTCCTCTCTCCCCACTGCTCCCCTCAGCAGTGTTTTTCAGTTGATCTGCCTGTTCTGCTCCCCACTGTATCTAGTGAATCCTCTCTCTCTCTCTCATACACACACACACCCTGACACTTCTGACCTGTACCCCAAGTCTTGTATGCATAAATAAATCAATCTGTTTTTTTTTTTAAAGATTTATTTATTCGTGCATACAGAACTGGGGTACAGGCCAGAGATGTGGAGGGTGAGAGGATTCACCAGGGACAGAGTGGG